TCTTTTTCAAAATCACGCCAGGCAAAGGACAAATATGATGTGTTGTTCAATACACGGTCCAAATTGTCTATTGTCCAAAAACTTGCTTTTGCTTTTGATGACAAACTGCTTGAGCAGGATGTCATCAAATCTTTAGATGAAATTCATCAGGATGTCAGGGAATATCAGAGGGTAAGTGTAATAATTTTGTTAAAGTTATTTTATTAATTTTTGTGCAATGTAGGTTTCTAAAAGATGTTAAAGAAATTTGTAGTTGAGTAGTAGTTGATAACTTTTAAGAGAGGTCGCATATTAGTGTTTGAGGTTATATATAATAATAATATATATATATATATAATAACTTGGTCAAGGTAAAAACAGAAGGCAACAATAATATTTTTATGAAATTAACTGTGAAGGGTAAGTGTTTTTTATTAAATATAAATATTTTGTTTGAATATTTTTATCACCTTTATAAAATTAGGAATGACATGTTTTATTGTTATAAGGAGTTCTAAAGAACAACGACTTAAATTAATGTGAGTGGTTACTGTTGTGCACTCTATAAAATTGCACTCTTAGAGAACTTTGTACTTTCTGAATATTTCATATATGCTAAGGTTGTGTTTGTATATTTATTAATGAATTTGAATAATGTATAGCTTGTGTTCTTATTGTAACTGCATTAAACCTTTATTGACTCAATTTTATCTATTAATTTGAAGGTTTCTGTGTCTGTGAAGATCCTGGATATGATTTTCCAGGAGGAAACCATGACCAGGAGCCGATGCAGAATGAGGCAAAGAAGTTACATGGTGGCTGATAAAACCAGGACAATGGTTTTGACTGTTTGGGGTGAAAAAGATGTGGAAATTGGGAAGTGGTACAAGTTTCAGAATGTCTCTGTGAGGTTGTTTAATCAGAGACCTTGTCTGAGCACAACAATGCAGAGTGTAGTTTCACTTATTGATGACTGTGGTGTTTGTGCACAGGGGGCAATGGAAGACAGGGAAATTATTGTTGGGGAGATTATTGACTGTGACGTAAGGGTGGAGTTTCTGTGTCCACAGAATCACACTTTGCAGTGTGTGAACCATGAAACTCTGATGACACGGTGTGTGCTGTGTATGGCATACTGTAAAACTTCAAAAGTAATATCAGTGTTTCGAGGACACATTACAATAGATGCAGGTTCAGGAAACCAGAAAATGCATCTAGAACATGATGTGTTTTGCAAGTTGCTTAGTTTGCAGACAGGTGTTAGATATGAGTCTGATGAGTTGGCGTCAAAGATTTTGAGTCAGGAAAGGCTAAGGGTTGAAATGTGTCAAGGAATGATTTGCAGACAATGAAGAAAACAGGTCTGAAGATTGCATCACAGCAAGTTGTAGCACAGCATGTCTGAGCACAACATCTGCCAACACAACCAGCACAACAGCTGCCAGCACAATAGTTGTGCAGTTAGATGTGCATGATAACAAAGATGGCAGTTGCAGTACTGATACTGTAAATAGTGTTCACGATGAGGAGGTTGTAGAGTTTCATAACATTTTTGAAAATGTGAATATGGAGTTTGAGGAAGTATAATTTAGACTATTCATTTTTTTTTTTTTTTTTTGGCTATGTAACATGGGGTAAACTTCAGTTTATTTTAGTAATACTGATATAGATCTTTCTCATAGATGATGTACATTTTGAAGGGACTTTTTTATGTTTTTGATAATATATCCAATTGTTTATATATAAACAGATGTTTTTTGATGTGAAAAATAGTGAATTTATGTTTGTGTAAAAGCACAATATAGTATATAAGGTTGGGTTTTGCTTCAAAGATTTTATTTAACATATGTATTGTGCACTTAAGATTACTTTTTGTTCAAGCAAAGTTTCAATAAATCAATTTCAAAATTATATTGACCTTTTTGTTTATTTTTTCAAGCATTTGATTTAGGATGGCCATAGCATCTTTAATTTAATGATTTCAATAAACTTTTCAGGTGAAAAAGACATTCTTAAAAAATACTTGAAATTTAAATATTATGTTTATGTAGTACATTTGTATTTAGAACATGCTTATTTTAAATGCATTAAAAATATATTGAATTGTATTTTAATATATTTCTAAAAAGTGTATTAGAAATACAATCGGATATATGCTTATTTACACTTAAGAAATATTCTAAAAACAAGCCTACTTCAATATATTTAAAAAAGTATACTAGAAATACTTTGGTAATAAATAAGCTTTGTTACACTTAAGAAATATGCTAAAGTCAAGTCAGCTTCATTTATACAGCGTTTTTAACAATATATAGATTGTTTCAAAGCAGCTTTACAATGATAATGGGAAATTAAAGTAACATAGATTTTTTTTGGCTATACAGCAACTCTAGAATAAAGTTATTGTCAAGCTAAAGTTAATTTTGATTTATTCACTATTAATTTAGGGGCTGCTAACAGGGTTAGTTCACCCAAAAATGAAAATTAAGTCATTAATTACTCACCCCCAGGCTGTACCAACCCTGTAAGACCTTCGTTCATCTTTGGAACACAAATGAAGATATTTTTGATTAAATTTGAGAGCTGGACCACTCCTCCATACTGTTCCGTGTTCTCCCCACGGAAAGGGCAACCCAGTGCACAAAGGATGGATATTACTCAGGATTTCACTTTATTTGTTTTATTTCACAAATAAACAACCAGGTAATAAACCTGAGAAGATAAGAAAATACAACATTTAAACTTTCATGTGTATACTAGTTAATACATAATTCAAATAACAATATGCAAAAAATAAATAACATTAATCAAAATACAAAACATTTATAATAATAATAATCACTATAAATACACCATAATAATAACAGTAATCATCAACACATAATTTTTATGTACATGCCTCACACTTCATACACTATGCACCATAATCAAGTCCTACCAAACCCATACAAGCAGTAAACTACAGCTGGAACTACATTTCCCAGAATGCCCCACGGCAAACCGGGAAGAATAACATTACTCACATTAAATACCAGCCTGCGATTTATACTTCAAATTCAAACATGTTTAAAGTCAGATAAAGTAAACACAAATGGACACATCTTCTATAGCGATGTTTTAAGTAAGTCTAAAATGTTAACTTTGTCTCACAGGTACCTCGTCAACTTAGTTAACTAAGCTTGTTTAGATCTAACGCTATCAGAGCATAGCATTATCTTTCTCATGAAACGGACACAAACACAGTACAATATAGTAGTGATGGCAGTGTGACGCTGAAGCTTCGATACGTGCTTCGAAACCCTGAACTACAAACCTAGAGAACCACTGCTTCAAAGCTTGCTTTGGTGCGAAAAAAATCATGTGACATATGACGTCCGAAGCAGCAAGTGCTTCATTGCCTGAATGAATCATTTGACTGGTTTGCGGTCCAATCAGGTGATTCACTGGAACGGCGCGTCTCGCCAGCATCATCTGTTCCTTGTGAGCGAGTGTTTTCCAAGTCTGGAGAGGTTGTGAGCAAAAAAAGAAACCGACTCAGTCCAAAAACTGTTGAAAAAATAATGTACCTCAATAAAAATCTTTGAGTGTTCCCCATCCCAAAAATCACACCCTGCCATTTACACAAGCACACCCAACCTATGCCATATTTTTCCAGCACTCTCTCCTAAATAACACAAAACATACATTTATCAATTTTTATTTGTAAATAGAACATTATTCTTAGCATTAGCGTGTGCACCAAAGAGTTTTCAAAGGAAATATAGTTAAAAATCCAAGGGTGATCTTAGCAAAGATGCTTCAGAACTAAAGTAGTTTCTCCAATACTGCTCACTGATTAATTTGACTGATTAATTGCAGCCTTGCTTTTCGCCAGGAGAGGTCGCTGCAACTGAAGCTTCGAGTAATGAACCCACTTTTGAACCAATTGGCTCAAGTGGTTCAGTGCTTCACAAAAGCTTAATTTGGCCATCACTACAATATAGATGCATGGGTGAAAGCAAACAACATGAAGCATACATCATAAAGCAGACAAGAAACATTAAAATTAAGAGAGCTTACCAAGTGGCTGCACACCGGGTTGAAGTCAATATAGATTCAATAAATCGCACTTCCTTTAAACATAGTGAACTCCGGTCACATGTTCCACAGCACACTCATCTCTTAAAGAGGCACTGCACTATTAGGCTACAAACCTCAAAACGTTTCCAATATCTGAGAGCTGTTTCACAAAAGCAGAATTTAGAAATCCAGGATAAGAGATAAAGCTGGGCTTGACCTAGTGTGATCAGTGCATCCTGGCTTTATCAGTTTCACAAAGGCCAAACCAGGCTCAGGAGGAGCGGCTATGTCAAGCCAGGTGTAAGTAATTCAGATAAGTGGGTGTCAACAGCTTTCTTCAAGAGACCACACAGTCCATCACAGATTCATTGATGCTACAATGGATAAGTTGCGTGCGACATACTTCACACCAAATGAGCAACATCTTTTAATGGAGACTTACAAGGAATTGAAGCACATCATTCTCAGAAAAGGAAACACTGCCGATATTATAAAGGAGCGAGAAAGGGCATGGCAAACAATAGCGGCTCGACTGAATGCGCTACTGAAAATGTCATAATTATACATTCAAGGAGTTACTTGTCATTTGCTCAAATGAACAACTGTAAACTTAAAAATGAACAGTGGAAGTCAGTGTGAATCTGACAGCTGAATAAATTATGTTACTCTTTTTTGTTACGCATCCTATCAATATTTATACAGACAAGACCCTAGTTTTTTCTGCTTGGCATTACATCACATGCACGCTTCTTTCACATGCACAGCATGCTTCTTTCACATGTACATAGGACAAGCAGAATTCTCCAACACACGCGGCCACCAAACACACAACTATGTGGAGATGCAGTGTGTGTTTTAAAAGACTAAATACTTCACAGGACAAAAGCACTCAAGATCCCTCCATTATTCCAGCTTTTCATCCCCGACTTTGAGAGAATTTGAGCTTTGGAAGTTTGCAGATCTCATACATGCAAGAAGAACATTTCATTTGAGGATCTCAGTGACCTTTCAACTGAGTACGGCTGTACAAGGGCCCTGATACAGGTCGGGCCGTGTAATACACGTGTAATGCCGCTATTATTAAAAACATGATTATACACTCAAGCTTCCATTGTTTTCCAAAAATGAGCTTGAACTGTTTTTTCTTCTCATAATTATGAAAATGAATCTTTCATTAGTGTTTGTCTCCCTCTGCTGGTACAACACAAACACATTCAGGATCTATATTTACATTTTTGAGTTTATACTGTGTGTTTATACAAATAAAAAGGTTAATCTATGAATGAGAAAGTGTAATTTGCTGTGAAATAAAAGGTGTTTCACTGCGGCCTCATCAGGTCTGTCAGAGGATGGTTAAAATCTAAATGAAGTCTTAATTTCTAACAGTGAAGTCACTGTATCTTCAGTCTCTGTTGATTCTGTTGACTGTGAGTCTCTGTAGTGGATCCTTATTCACCATCAGATGATCAGCAGAACATCAGACTGTCATCTATAACTAAAATAAAACACACACACAGTCACATATGCAGTATGAGATATTACATCCGTCACATCTTTACATAAGAAAACTAACTAGATAATCTATAATAATTCTTTCTCCAACATGATAATATAGCTTCTATCTGATGCTCAAAGTCACTTTACAAAATCAAAAGCACATGAAAGGTCACTTTCACACAACGGACAGCTGATCCAGAACCAGCAGAAATCATCATTACACTCACTACAGATTTAATATCAGTTCATAACAACCCAAATCTCAGATTATCACACACATAAGGCGTCTTTACACAGAAAAAGCGGCACAGAAACCAAATCTGAAGCGCTATAAAATCACTAAATGTGCATTTACACAGAATGTTTATTGCTTCTCTGACGCGGCATAAATGCATTCGGTAAATTATGACACTTTAAATGCAAAGTTGACATTGTTTAAAATGTCTTTGTTATGACAACTTGACATAACCAAGGAATCATAACTAGTCCAACGTGTTCCACTTTACTTGAGGTAAAGGGAAATATTAATGACACTGTTGTTAAAGCATTTGACAGTCTAATGACCCTTAATGACATCTTTATAACTGGTACAATGTGTTCCACTTTACTTGAGGACAAGTCAAATATTCATGTCACAGTTATAATGGTGTCATGACAACCAAAGTTAAAACCAACCATAACATATGACAGGGTAATGTAATGATAACACATTACAGGTTAACAGGTTATGATTTCTTGGTTAATGTCAAGTTGTCATAACAAAGACATTTTAAACAATGTCAACTTTGCATTTAAAGTGTCATAATTTACCGAATGACACTTAATGACAACAGTCATAAACATTCATAAAGACTCCTTCATGTTCATGACAGATGTTATGTCATGTTTATGACAGTGTCATGACAGTCTTATGCACACCCCTTCAAATAAAGTGTTACCCAGGACACTTTTACTTTATTGTCTCTTGTTGGCTGACATGTTTTAATTTGGCTAAAACAATATGGAGCTCGGCCTATATGTGTTGTCTTCCGCTTCTTGACTCTCGCGCCGCGCGTTTGGTTGTCATGACAATGGCGTAGTTTAGAGCGGCACAAGTTGGTGCTCATTTACACTGAACCAAAACAATATCAGAGTCATCTTTGACACTAGCGGCTGAGGCGGGTCCGGCCAGCATATTCTCAGTTTGCTTTTATGTGGCATTGTGTCTTTACACAGAACTTTGAGCAGACACAGAGCCGCTTTAGAGCAGCCTTAACTCGGCTGTGTAAAGATGCCTATAGAGACAGTTCAAGGGGAAAAGAGGAAAATAACATTCATATTATTCTCACAATCAGTCACAACAGTATGAGCAGAATTACACTCATATTAAACAGTTTAAAGTTCAGAGACCGACAGAAACTGAAGCTGAATTTAAGACTCAATATCTCCATACATACAAACACACGCACACACACACTCACACACTCACACACACACTAGTTTGTTACTGAACTTGAACCTTTATTATTATTTCTAGCAAGTAAAACAAGTAAAACAGCCATTTGAACTTTAAATGAAAATATAATGATGAAAATCGTTAAGAACTATTCTTACTGTAGTGTCTCCAGTTTATAATGTGGATCATCCCTCAGATCCTTCAGCTGCTTCACTCCTGAGTCTCCTAGTTTATTATCAGACAGAATCAGATCTCTCAGGTGTGAGGGGTTTGATCTCAGAGCTGAAGCCAGAGCAACACAACCTTCATCTGTGACTCCACACTCACTCAACCTGTAGAGAACAATGACACACATTAAGTCTATATCCAGAGATAAACACAACACTTAAACTATAAATAACATAATGCTGTCAATATGAAATATATATTTCATATTCATGTGTGTGTGTGTGTGAGAGAGAGAGAGAGAGAGAGAGAGAGAGAGAAGTATATGTATGAGTGTGCGTGTGTGTGTGTGTGTTTGTGTGTGTGTGTCATGGGCACAGCTGCACATTTGCTGAGGGGTAGTGTTGTCACGGTACCAAAATTTCAGTATTCGGTACCAATACCAGTAAAAATTCACGGTTCTCGGTACCAATTTCGGTACCAAAGCTTAGTTTAAATTTACATATATTTAAGTGTTTATCACGGTTACAAGTATGGAAACTGTACATTTGTATTATAAACACTTTAGAAAAAAATTAGATAAAATGACCTAAAATAAACAATAGTATGCACTAACACTGTGATGATCTGTGGCTGGAGTGCCCGCTTGAGCCTCTGGGGGGCACTCCTTCCTAGTTTATTGTTTCATTCTTGTTTTACCCTGGACTGATTATGGTTTATTTCATGCACCTGTGTTTTATCATCTTGTTTAGTTCACCTGTTTTAAGCCCTGTGTTTCTGCCCTGTCTTGGTTGGTTATTGAATGAATTTATGTGTGTTACGTTGGTGCTTTCACGTCTCTCGAGTCTTGCTTCTAGTGTCTTGTTTTAAGTTTGTTTAATAAAGCTACACTGCGTTTGGACCCAGCCTCAGCTCTGTTTCTCCGCACAGCGTCACAGAATAACCAACCTCAATATGGGTCCAGCAGTCGTCAGCAACCGGGCTATGACAGAATACCTGTCGTCAGTCTTGCAAGAGGGCCGGTCTGTCCAAAGGTACGCGAAGGAGTTCCTGTCCATTAGCAGTCTGGGAGCGCTAGATGATATCCAGCTCAGGGGCCTGTTTCTGAATGGGCTGGATTATGAGATCGCTCGATGGATGCCGCGGGACCTTGCCAACTGGACTCTTGACGGGTATGTCGCTCGGGCTTGTTCCTTGCAGGACCTCTTCACTACTGCGCGCTTATTCTACTCGACACCTGCCGAGTGTACTTTACCCGCGAAGCCCTCGTCGTCTTCACCGCTGGTTCACGTCAGTCACGACGAGCCCGCGCTTCACGTGCGCATTGACGAGCCCGCGACTCACGTCAGCCCAGCCGAGCCCGCGCTTCACGTGAGCCCCGCGAGGGAATCTCCTGTTCAAATGGATGAATCTCCAGTTCAAGTGGATGAATCTCCAGTTCAAGTGGATGAGTCTCCGGTTCAAGTGAGTGAATCTTCAGTTCAAGTGAGTGATCCTGTTCAAGTGGATGAATCTCCTGTTCAAGTGGATGAATCTCCAGTTCAAGTGGATGAATCTCCAGTTCAAGTGGATGAATCTCCAGTTCAAGTGGATGAGTCTCTGGTTCAAGTGAGTGAATCTTCAGTTCAAGTGAGTGATCCTGTTCAAGTGGATGAATCTCCTGTTCAAATGGATGAATCTCCTCTTCAAGTGAGCGCTGAATCTCCTCTTCAAGTGAGCGCTGAATCTCCTCTTCAAGTGAGCGCTGAATCTCCTCTTCAAGTGAGTGCTGAATCTCCTCTTCAAGTGAGCGCTGAATCTCCTCTTCAAGTGAGCGCTGCATCTCCTCTTCAAGTGAGCGCTGCATCTCCTCTTCAAGTGAGCGCTGCATCTCCTCTTCAAGTGAGCGCTGAATCTCCTCTTCAAGTGAGCGCTGCATCTCCTCTTCAAGTGAGCGCTGCATCTCCTCTTCAAGTGAGCGCTGAATCTCCTCTTCAAGTGAGCGCTGCATCTCCTCTTCAAGTGAGCGCTGCATCTCCAGTTCAAGTGAGTGAGTTGTCCAGCCCAGCGAGTGTGTCTAGCCCTGTGACGCGCCGCCGCAGGAGGAGGAGAAGGAGGACTCGTTTGGTTCGCCAGGCCCCGGTGAGCGTGCCCAGACTCCTCGCTCTGCCGGCCCCGCCTCTGCGCCTCGCTCTGCCGGCCCCGCCTCTGCGCCTCGCTCTGCCGGCCCCGCCTCTGCGCCTCGCCCTGCCGGCCCCGCCTCGCCCTGCCGGCCCCGCCTCTGCGCCTCGCTCTGCCTGCACCCTTCAAGCTCCGGGAGGCCTTTCCTGTACCCGTTCACCACCCAGAGGTTCCTCCCGGGAATTTCCCCAAGTATTTTTTTTGGGGGGGGGGGGGGGGGGGGCAGTAGGTACTCTGTGGGGGCCATGGAGGCGGCACTGACATGGACCGCACCTGAGTCTGCTCCGCCCTGGCCGCCATCACGCCCTGCTCCGCCCTGGCCGCCATCACGCCCTGCTCCGCCCTGGCCGCCATCACGTCCTGCTCCAACCTGGTCACCCACGCTCCACGGCCCAGGCCCGCCTTGCCTGTGTCCGGGTCCCGTTCCCCTGCACGGGCCCTGCCCTCCGTCCCTCCCCCGGGGTCACCTTCACTCTGCCCCCCGCCTGGATTGTTCTAGGAGCGTCTGGAAGCCGCTCCTTAGAGGGGGGGTTATGTGATGATCTGTGGCTGGAGTGCCCGCTTGAGCCTCTGGGGGGCACTCCTTCCTAGTTTATTGTTTCATTCTTGTTTTACCCTGGACTGATTATGGTTTATTTCATGCACCTGTGTTTTATCATCTTGTTTAGTTCACCTGTTTTAAGCCCTGTGTTTCTGCCCTGTCTTGGTTTGTTATTGAATGAATTTATGTGTGTTACGTTGGTGCTTTCACGTCTCTCGAGTCTTGCTTCTAGTGTCTTGTTTTAAGTTTGTTTAATAAAGCTACACTGCGTTTGGACCCAGCCTCAGCTCTGTTTCTCCGCACAGCGTCACAAACACATTTTTAAAGTTGTTTGTAAAGTTCTAATCCGTTAACATTTATTTAATGCACAATGAATGAAGTGAACAAACATGAACAATCAAGTGTTTCTATTAAATAACATTTACAAACATTAATTAATGTTGTAAAAATATATTGTTCACTCAATGTGTTGATGTGAAGTAGCTAATGTTGATAAATGGTATCTTATTGTAGCATTACCAAACTATAGGCTATAGGAGAAAAAACATGTTTTATTTGATTTGACTGTACTTTTATTTAATCTAAAACTGCATTCATATTTAATTTTGAAAAGGCTTTTTAAAACTGCTGAGTTATAAAGGCAAGAATACGCCTAGAACTGGCACTGACATTAAATGACATAAATAGGGATGCATCGATACTAATACCAGTACTCTGGTGTCGGTTGGATACTACTGTGCTCATGTACTCGTAAAACTACCCCGAAAGCACTTTAGAGGCCGTTCACATATCGCGCGTGTTTTTTTTATTATATTTTTGCGCGTGCTTATTCTTTCCAAAGCGCTTGTTCTCACGCGGCGTCTGTCGTTGCTATGCAACGAGTTTTTATTATGAGCGCGCTTGCCTCGCGCCTATATTTGAAATTGCGAATTTGCATGTAATCGGCCTCTTATGGCAACGTGACATTAGCCTAATCCAAAATATTTCCATATGTGGCTCTTTCAGAGAGAGAGCCATATCAGCGTTATGAAGAGGACGCAACTGTGCACCTTTCAGACAGCGCGTCTAGAACTGGATTAACCTGGTATTCGGTACCTAGAAAAGCTGGTACCGTAACATTTTTTTTTTTTTAGTACCGACTTGGTACCGAAGTACCGAGTTTTTTGACAACACTACTGAGGGGTTTGCAATATCAGTGTTGGTGCCACCCATCAAACACACACACACACACACACACACACACACACACACACACACACACACACACACACACACAGTGGAAGTAATTGGGTCACTCTGTTTGTAATAAGTGTTGAACATCCAAAATATTAGCAGAAAACAAAGCTGAAGCACCAAGGAGATAAGATACAGTAGCATGTGTCTGTTTTTAACTGCTATGTTTATTTACAAAAAAAAAAAATCACATTTACAAACATTTTTTTAATTAGATACAGCAGTCATCAAGCAGACATCTACTTCAAAATTTAAACAAATTTTAGTGCCCATCAATTAAAACAACATAATTCTGCGGTTCTGATGAAGAAACGGAGAAAAATGCCTTTAAAGTTTTTTTATACCAGCCAGTCAAACATGTTATGTGTAGATTATGTGGTAATGCATCTCCGAAACAGGACATAATTTAACCCAGATATTTTTTCACAAGACAGACATGTCATAAAGCCCATTACAAGTCTTAACTCATTTTTGAACAAATATCATATGTGATTTTAGTTACTGCACTTTGCCTTTGTAGGGCAGTGTGCAGGGCTGCGAACTCTCACGCATTGAGTGTGAGACAATTCTCACGCTACACCCCCGATTTCTCATGCTAAAGTGTCAAGCCGGTCACTAAAATACCTGAAAAGATGAGTTTATCTATAGTTCCACCCGTTGAGCCACTCGTGATCGACTAGTTTTACCGCAAATTAGTTAAAATATCCTCTAATCTAGAGCGAACGTGCATACGAGACAGATGTTGAGCTCCTAACGGCGCGGACGCAAAGCCAGGACTGGAGCCAAAGCCCGTTCCTCTCTGCACTCTAAGCGTTCTGTTATCACTCCGCCTCCATCCACTACGGGTTTTCCAGGCTCACGCACAGGAAAAATTGACGATTTTAAAAGATAATCTTGTTTTATTTTTTTATATAAAAAACTGCTCCGTGTCCGATTTTAAAAGATAAGTTAATCTAATTTTTTCTTTTTATGTATCACAAACGTCTGAATTTATAATACTCAGGTACAAGTAATGGCTTGGAAAGTATTCTAGCACTACACGTTTAATTCATTTTCCAGCTGCCTTTTTGCACCCAGGTAAAAAGAACAATTCTACAAATTCTACAAACACTTTTAGTTTGCTAACAAAAATATCGTTGTCATTGAACTATGCCGTTAACGACCGACTTGCGACCATAGTTGGCCAACGATGCTTTCGGGAAACGCACTCAGAACGCATCACGGCATGGTAGCCTACTGTATGCGTATATTAATGTATTCGGAGTAAACAACCCTGATGCTAAAACTTACTTCAAATATGATGTTTCTTCTGTGAAGATGAAGACGTATCCTGACTTGCAACCATCTCTCGTCCTC